AAATCAATACATACTTTCACCACTTGCAATGTGCTGATATTTTTAATGCTTTATTTTATTTATTTATTTTATTAATCTGAGAGAGAGAGAGAGAGAGAGAGAGAAAGAGAGAGAGGAATGGAAGAATGAGAATGAATCAAGTCCAAAGAAAGGGCAAAAAGAGCCGGATCCAGGGCAGAGTTTGGCTTCAAAGTTAGTAAGAACAGAACATGGCATTCTCTGAACTGGAGGAATCGGACGTGTACTGTGTCCAGGGGAGAGTGGGGAATTAAGGAATATCCCACCTGATGGGGTTAATTTTTTCCATAAAGCCAGAGGCCAGGTCATCTGCTGAGAACAACAGACAGGGGTTGAGAAGGTTTAAGGGTCAAGGTAGCCAGAGGCGCAGAGGAAGGAGAGGAGTGAGGGATTTGGGGGTTGGTGAGAAAATGAACACAGGATCAACACCGTGTTAGGAAGAAAGGTTGCAGAGAGGGTTGGCAGTAGGTGGAAACAGACACTCAAAGTCGACAAGGACTCCGTCACAGAGGGAATAGAGAGCCTGAACAGGTGGACAGGCAGGAGGCTGTGGGCCAACGTGGAAACAGGAATCCAGACATTGGCCAGTGAGCAAGAGTGTGTACCTGGGTGAGTCGCTGGGTTGGGCACCCCAGTTGTTAGGGCAAAGCTCATGTACTAGATCCTCTCCACGGCCGGGGTGCTGCTGAGGAGGTAATCCTGAAGCAGGAGCACTGTCCATCCTCCCAAGTTAGTCAGTTTGGGTGCAGCCATGGTGGCTGCAGGGGGTGTGTGCAAGGTCATCAAAAGGGCTTCGAGGTCCTGACCCTGTTCTCTCTTCCCAGCCTGGTGCCTGAGGAACGAAGGTGTGAGTTCCGTGCTCCTGGGGTCATCCACTCCCGAACAGCTCATTGAGAACCTCGGTGCCATTCAGGCAAGTGCCACAGCCCTTTCCCACAAACTCTGGGGATCTCATGGTGTCGCTGAAGATGTCCCCAGGCAGTGTCCCGTCTCTCCCCACCTCTGTCCTTCACATCACAGCTTCCCAGTTACATGGAAGTCCCTAACAGGCTACTTATTCCTAGATTGGGGGTGTGGGGGGACAAAGGTACAAGAGGTAAGAGAACTGTTATAGACATGAATCCAGGAGTGCCCTCTTCTGTTAACAATGTTCTCAGACCTCACTTCTCAGGACGGTTGGTTTCTGTGAGACAAGGCATTCCAAGATTCAAGCCATGTCACACCTGGGTTCCCAGGCCTGGCCATAAAAGCAGCCTAATAACCTGCTTGAAATGTAATAGCCCCAGGACATGTCCTCATTTGTTCTTCCTGCACATTTACTGCCAGCCTAGTGTGCCAAGCCCTCACAGCGTCCTGTGTTCCCGCTCCCATCTCAGCCCTTGTGATGATGTAGTGTAATTGCTAGTCCTCCCTACTGGACTGAAACTCCTGAGGTCAGGGACCTGTCTGCGTCTTTCTTGCTTCTCATGGATTTCTGGTTACTAGCAACACTCAAGAAACACCTGTTGAGCGAATGTTCACCACCTTTCAAAAGAAACATGATCAGAATTCTAGTCTGGACTTCCAGGATCACACCTCCCTGGCAGCAAATTCAGGGGTTCTCATCCCCCCTCCCTCCCTGGTGGATTGCCTGAGACCTGAGGCACTGGATGGAGCCTGAGGGTGTACTCTGGGGAGCCTGCTGGGGCAGTGGGAGGGGGTGGGAGAGGTGTTCCTGGGTGGTCTCTGAGGAGAGGGGTGGGGCTTAGTGGCTGGTGGGACCATCCTCCTCCCCCAAAGGCCATATCTCTTCCCAGATGTCCTCCCCTCTCAGCCTTGCTGAGGCCCCAGGAAGGAGCCTGCCCATGACTTGCCATGGCCACCACCTGCCAAACAGGTGTCTTTTCCTCTTGCTCACTGGGGAACAGAACTATCAGTTTCTTCCCCATCCACCAGTCCCTGAAGCAAGCACTTATCTCCCTGTTACCTCTCCCAAAAGAAACAGGTGGAGGTGGGGACCAACCTGATTAAACTTAAAATGTTTAAAAAAAAAATCCCTTTGAAAAGCCCAGAATATGCTGGGGATAAAAGTGTGGACTTCCTTCCCCACCGGCACCTTTCCTGGGGCTGTGCAGCCTTGTCATCATCCCGCCTCTGCTTCCCAGAACCCTCTGAGCCCCACAACTCCTCCCAATTCTGATGGTTCTCCATCGTTGCATGGGGAAGGCTCCCCTCTTGTGAAAGCCGTCCCACCGTCTCTTCTTTACTCTTGTGCTCGGGGGAAAGATAAAGGCTCCACAGCGATGAGGAAAGAGAGAACAGGCTGTACACAGAGAACTGGAATTCCGTCCAGTGATTTCAATTCCACTAATAGGTATCGAGCACCACGCCGGGCAGAGTCCTGAGCGAAGAACAGGACCCTGTCCTCCGGGGCCCAGGGGCTGGCTGGGCGTGAACGAGGCAACCTATCCCTTATTCATTCAGCACACCTCTGGGAGCCTGCATGGCCAGGCAGGCACTGATACTGTCCAGCTCTCAGGGAGCTTACGTTCTGTGGGAGAGGCACATAACAAAGTATAATTGCACACTGTGAGGAGGGCCAGTGAGTGAGGATGGTGTTGTAAGAGAGACTACTTGAGAAGTGGGTGGACCTACTTTAACTACTGTCCGTGCCAAGGCCTCTGGGTTCCTGCATTCTGAAGCCTGGAAGATGAAGACGCAGCATGTGAAAACCCCAGAAGGAGCATTCCAGACAGGGAGGAGCATTCCAGACAGGGAGGAACATTCCGGACACCGGGAGGAGCCTCCAGACACAGGGAGGAGCAGTGTAAAGGCCCCGAGGGGGGAAGGAACGTGGCTTTTCTCAGGAACTGCCAGCCTAGGCCATGTGGCCAACATGCAGTGAGCAAAAAGGACAGCGGGTGCACTGAAGTGGTGAGTCAGGCAGAGGTCAGATCACAGGACACTGGAGTTTTGTTCTACACGGAATGGATCCTTCGGAAGGTTTTAAGAGGAGAGACAGGCTGTTATTTGAATGTTTAAAGACTGCACTGCTGCTGTGTAAGAAGTAACAGGAAGAAAGGGCAGTTGTCCAGATGACAGGTGATAGGGCAGCTAGGATGGTGGCAATGGAGGTACAGTGCATGGATGCTGTAGGATTTCGAAATACAGGACTTGCTGACGGCCTGGCAAGGAGAGAGAGGCCCCGAGGATTCCTGTAATGCTACTACATTGTGAACACTGCCACCCAGGGGAGCAGCATGCCTGGGATGGTAGAGACGTCACGCCTGGGCTGTGGGAGAACTCCAGGTAGCTGAGGGTGCATTTCAGAGGAAAACAGTCATCTTCCCAAAGCACCTCCTCCCCAGCAAAGCTCTGGCCGGTAGCAAGATGGATCGCCCATGCTCAAAGGGTAAGAGGCAGGGAGGCTATCCAAGCAGGGGGCTACCCCCTTGGGTCCACTGTCCCCCCTGACTACTCCCGCCAGCCCAGCAGCTGAAAATTTGCCCCAGGTGAGCAGTGATTGGGCCCCTCCATGGGGTGGGAAGTAAGCTGAGTGGCTGGGGGTTCCCAGCAGTGGAATGATTGGGTGCCAGACAGAAAGCTGCAGTGCAAGCAGTTGTCGGGCAAGGAAATTTCTAGTAGGCCCAGCAAGGCAGCTGCTCCAAGGGATAAGATAAGTGTAAATTGTGCATAAACTAGAGGCACATATAAATTAGAGCCTCAACAGATGGGAGACTGGAGAAACCACAGCTGCAGGCGGCCGCCATCATCTGCACAGGCCCCCATTCCCCCCAAGTATAAAAAGTGGAGCTTTGCCTCTCCCCGCTCCACTGCACCAGCCTTAAAGTCCTTGGGGCCCCTGTCGCCTAATCTGAGCAGTCCAGGCAGGGCCCCTTCACATCCAGGGCTCGTCTTCCCCGGAACCTAAATCTCCAGCCACCATGAGCCACTGGGACCCCCAGATGTAACACTGGTCCTCTGCCTGCCAGTGTCCACCACCCACCTGCCCAAATCCCCCAGGTCCCACTCAGTGAGCCAACCCTGGGAGGAATTCCCTGATACCCCACCAGGCCCAGCAACACTTACCAGACCGCCCCTCACCCACCAATTATCCCAGTCAGAACCTAAATCTCCAGCCACCATGAGCCACTGGGACCACCAGATGTAACACTGGTCCTCTGCCTGCCAGTGTCCACCACCCACCTGCCCAAATCCCCCAGGTCCCACTCAGTGAGCCAACCCTGGGAGGAATTCCCTGATACCCCACCAGGCCCAGCAACACTAACCAGACCGCCTCTCACCCACCAATTATCCCAGTCAGTATAACACCAAGGTTGCAAAATTGGTAGGCTGTGGGATGTTCGTTTAATTGTAGATGGAAATATGTTAAAATAGCTGTCAACATTTTTAAAAACTGGGCAGTGTCACATAAAACTCTGGATGTATGGTTCCTATTAAATATTTAGAGCTTGCAACACAACATATATATTTTTTCATGTTTTATTCAAGTACTTTTATGGTTTCAAGGTTTTAAATATCTGAAATTTATTTTGGTGTAATGAACGAAGAATTTTTTTTCTCACATGGCTAACCCACTATATTTTTAGCACAAAACTTCCAACAAATGCAGCTTCTAGATTTGGGTCTCATTGTTGCAATCTCACTTTAAAGAACACATTAGTTTATCATCGGTTCTCAACCTGTGGGTCGCGACCCCTCTGGGGGTCAAATGACACTTTCACAGGGATCGCCTAAGACCATCGGAAAAACACATATATAATTACATATTGTTTCGTGATTAATCACTACGCTTTATGTTCAATTTGTAACAATGAAAATACATCCTGCATATCAGATATTTACATTACGATTTTCATAACAGTAGCAAAATTACAGTTATGAAGTAGCAACGAAAATAATTTTATGGTTGGGGATCACCACAACATGAGGAACTGTATTAAAGGGTCGAGGCATTAGGAAGATTGAGAACCACTGGTTTAGATCCTCTGAGATGCCAGAACTGGTGGGAAATCAAACTCTTCCTTTAGCTCTGAGAGAAAAACATTAAGGAGATCCAGTTTCCCAAGCTGAGTAGCTCTGCTCTTCGGCCAGACCCTACGGGTTCCGAGGAGGCTCTTGAGTGAAGACAAGGTCACCCTGGCCAACAGGCTTGCAGCCGAGGAAGGGCGAGGCTGAAACCTCAGAACTGGTTGTCACAATTGTATTTCATCAGTCTCCACACAGGGTCAGGCTATTCCTGTGAAAAAGTCTGCCTTTGTCCCTGGTCTGTGGTGTAGTGTGTGCCCTTGGCCCACTTCTCACAATGAATGCTGGCCCTGGATGATGTCATCCTTTCCCGGGGCTTTAATTAGCATATCCGTGGAGATGACTCACAAACCCTCATCTCCAGTCCTGCTACCAGCAAGCAAGCTCCACAGCTGCCCTTCCGCTGCCTACAAATCATTTCCACATGCGTCTCCCACTGGCACCCTGAACTCAATACATCCTACTCCAAACTTCTCCTCCCATGAACGCCTGTCTCAGTAATCCACATCATATGTTTCTAGTCATGCAGTCCGGAAACCACCACCATCCTCCAAAATGCCCCAGATCCACACCCCTTTTCTCCTCCACTGCCCCTGTCCCAGTTAAGGCTCTTAAGTGTCACTGCCCAGGACAGTAAGTTTCTAACATCTATGTCCCCTTTCAATCTCCTCCAACTCATCCTTCAAACTACCACTAGGTGTCTCTTAGGTTCATTTCCAGCTAAAAAGTCCTGAGAGGTTCCCCAATGTCTACTGAATAAACGCCCCCCCCCCGCCCCGCCCAAAAGATATGCAAGGCCTTCTGCCCTCTTTACCCCAATGTCTCTTTCTCCTGTTCCTACCATCCCCATACCTCCACCGCTCACTTTACGCTTGTATCACTCCGTTTCTTGGACTTTTCACTTTTTCATGCTATCCCATCCACCCAGGATGCCTGCTAACCCCTGGCCATCCTTCACCAGGGTGCTGACCACCCGTGGTAAAGAATCTCTCCTAGTCTCTAGACCTGTGCTGCCCAGTACCATAGCCTCTAGCCACATGTGGTTCTTTGGCGTATGCAAGGTGACTAGTCCAAATGCAGAGTAAGTATAACATGTACTAGAGATCAGAAAAACATAGTACTTTAAAAATATGCAAATCATCTTAAGAATTTTCTATACTAACTACATACTGAAATGTTTTGGCTATAATGGAGTAAAGTCAGGTATTAATTTCACATCTTTTCACTTTTATTAATGTGGCCACTAGAAAACCTAAAATCACATTATGTGGCTTGCATTATATTTCTACTGGGCAGAACCTCTGTGGGAATTATACATGTCTATCAGCCTTCATTTACATCTTATGTCTTCATTTATCCAGCCGACTAATAATTATGAGCACTATGGGCCAAGCACTCTTAGAGGCACTGGAGATGCAGTGAACAAAACAAGGTCCCTGACCTCAAGGAGCTTAGGGTCTGGTGAGGAGTATTTTCCAGTGGTGGTTTTTAAACATACTCCAGTCTAGACAATTGCCCAACAGTGAGCAGAAAGAACAAATATCAAGTACTAACTACATCCTTTGTACTTCTCATGCTCTCAGGTTCTCCCAAAGATGACATCACACGTGGTAAATGAGATTGATAACATATTACGCAACAAGCCCTACAGCAAAAAGGACTACAGATCATAAGGCTATGAATGCATGAGCCACAGGAGCTGCATGGTTCAAATATCGGTCTATGCCGGTACAGCAGGGTGTTCCTAGCCAGTCTTTTAAATCACTTAGCAGCCGCTGCATCAACCTCTAGTGTCCCCGGATTCTGAGGTGTCTGCTGTCGCTACCACTGTGCACCTGAATTATGAGCACATCTGAAAACTCAAAACTAAGAAAATCCATTCTATTTTCTTATCTTGGACTGGAGTCACCTATCCTTGCATTGCTCTGTACACCTCATGCTAATGCAATGGAAAGCATATGGCGGGGAAAGGTGTATTACCTTCAGGCATAGAACTTAAAGGCTATACAGACAGATCTGTTTTTTTCAAATGAACAAAATCCACAGATGCAATGTGGATTGTGTCAGAAAGAAGAGGCTATGTTAATTCAGAAGTCCTGCTTTGGAAAACAAGCAAAAACAATTTTACATTTGTTTTTCTATTTTCACATTCCAAGTGTTAGCAAGCTGTTTCCCTTATCATTTCAACAAAATGTAATTCCTAGGTATTTGCTTTCGTTACCTTTTAAATATTCAGTGTTGCTTGGCCCCAAAAATGACCCTGTGTAGCAATTTATCCAAAGTGTCTTATAATTCTAATAATGTTCTATTCATTTACACATAGAGATAGTAAAAGGATAAACACCAGTCTCTAATTAGAGACACTATGGTAAATGTATGCAAGTGAGGATTACACTACTATGGAAGCTTAGCTTCGGATAAAATGTAATGCACCTGCAACAAAGCGTTCATTTTTACTACATTTTATGAAAATCTGCTTTATATTTTTGACTGCTTGTAGGCACAACTTCTGCAAGTTTAAATATTTGAGCTTTAAAAATAAATATACACATGCTTGGTTTTTGTAAGTAAACCTGTAAAATACCCACAAAGCAAATGTTTGCTGTATAATTAGCACTGGGATTTTACAATATAATGCTTGGTGTTTTTGAGGAGTTAGTAACATGAAAGTAAGCCATGGGCTTTGTGAAAAATGTTGTTACTACTCAGCATATGCTGGGTGAATTAACTTGCCCAATGAAAAACAAATGTTAAAGAATTTCCTGATTCTGTAATAACATAATGTGCACTCAACTATATGCATGAAAGCTCACTGCATGAATTAAAGGGGCCTCGCTTTAATATACCTGGAAGCTGAGGCCTATCTAGCCCTGCCACTATTGGCTACCTACCCTCATGAGTACTCCACTTGAGAACAATTTTGAGAATATATTGTGTGTACCTGTAAGAAAGAAGACATTTTTTCCCCTCTTTTTTGGGGTATGTGTTGGGGGCAAGGGTCCTATAACTCTATTTGAACACCTGAGCATGTACAAAATTCTAATTTAATTTTCTGGCCAGCTGGTCCCAATATATAGAAATCATTGAGACTTACAGGACAAATATACTATCAGCTTCAAATGCTATTTTATGCCATCATTTCCAAGTAATTTCATGGTTAAGTTCTAAATCCCAAAATGTTAATGTGAAATACCAAGAAATTTCTTTTGATTATTACTACCTGTATTCAATTAAGGAAATAGTTTGGGTTTTTGCCCCAGAATATCATAAATATGGAAAAGGATCATTTTTTATTGTTCATTGTACATTCAATTAATCCAGTGAATACTTACTGTATGTATAAATGAGCTGAAGTTGTCTAATTCAAACTGCAATTCAACTTAATTTGAGTAGAGTAATAAAAGCATTTTGTGCATTTAATCTCACAATTAGTTTTTATCTGACCTTTCTTTCACTATAAGGCCATATATAT